CATGAAATAAAGTTATTATCAACTGATTTTTCAGGCGGTAATGGCATGAATTTCAACCGGCAACAAGGATTATCGGAGAAAATTCATCAGAAATAATTTCACCACTAAAATCTCGATTACAAATAAACCTGCAATCGAAAATTTATGCCGCTACGTACCTTTAGCAGTTGATTTGTGTTGAATTTTGGCAATCGTATGATGCTTTCTGGGAGAAAATGATCAGTCATATAAGTAACCTCTAAATTTGTAGAGAATTTATGTCACTAGTAATTTACGTCGGATTTGTGGTTGCTTTGTCAGTTGTAGGATAACTTGCCGCAGAAACGACTGATTAGTTCATCCGCTATTCAATGACTGAAAAATTAGTCATTGATCACCCACAAAGCTGTACAGAAAACAAAGAAAGTCTAAAGCAATAAAATTTTGACAACTGCAAGAAGAGATCATAAGACTCAATAATAACATTAACCATATATCACAACAGAGTAAATGAACAAATAGAGACATTGTCAACGAATGAAATCATAATACATATCTTAGAAAATCTAATAAATCATTTAATGGAAAAGTTCCTAAAAAATTTGCAAAAGAAATATATATACAATGTCATGTCCAAATATCACAAAAAAAAAAAAAACATAGAAATCCTACAAGACATCCTCATCCTCATTTTTATCCTCCTCTTGCACAACACTCGAAGGTTGCTTGACATGGTGCACATCACATTACAAATATGCAACAATGGCCTCAAGGCTCTCAACCCTCGCATCGATCCCTATCACACAATTCAACATCAAAATTTTGCCTGTAACTCCTCAATGATTGCAACCACACATTTGTGAAGTTCATCATCAACCGATGACGATGACCTCTAACTAAATGGGATTGCTAGGCCCAGTAGAAAGATCCCTGAGTGCCCAAATTGTGGACCCTCTCTTAATTCTTATTAATAGCTTCCCTCCAAATCTCATAATCTGAGTGTTTAAGCTATTATGATTGACCCCTGCTACTGCTGAGACTTGTCAGAATTTGAGTTTGGGTTTCTCTGAGGCGCTTGCAGTCCTCTTACAAAAGTAAAATTAAAGGATAATTAGAACTTTAAATAATATTGTAAGTAAATTAGAGAAATAAAAATAATGTTTTACTTATATGGACCAACTCAGATATGTCATCGACCCACTACAGATTCTTCAGATGTTGATGTTTCCACGCATGCAACTCAGTAGCATTGGACTCCCATCCAAGCTCCTTTCTTTATTAACATGTAAGAAAAATAATTATTAGATTATTACATAAATGATTTTTTATTGAACTTTATGTTAATGTCTATACAAAAAGAATAAATATTTATACTAAATCATATTGATTTACTACTCATTTTGTCCTAGAAAATCCAAAACAATCAGTTTATACAATACATTTGCACATAGGAAAAAAATATAAAGGCATTAGAAAGTTGTTGAAGCTATATTCATGATCCAAAAATCATGCAAACTAAAATTAACATTTGCACTAAATTAATCAACAAAATTTTATTATTTATTTTGTCTTAAAAATCTTAGAACATTCATTTTATACAATAGATTTGTATATAAAAAAAGGATGTCTCAAGGCAAGCTGCTACATAAGAAATATTAATAAATCAAATTCTAAATCTAGAAGAACACTATCACACCAGTTCTGATCGTTTGAGTGGCTTGACAATGGGGAGTTGGAAGGAAGCATACCACTTGATGGATCCTTAGTATTAAAATCAATAAGATGATGGAAAAGATAATGGGCAAATAGAAAAGGTTGGTCAAGAGGAATAGGAGATTAAATAAATGGAGAAGGTTGTTCAAGAAAATGAAGAAGTTAATTATTGCAAAGGTAAATTGAAATCAATACAATGAGGAGGAGGTTAGGCAAAGGGAGTAGGATGGTCAAGGGAATGAAGAGGTTGGACAAATGGATTAGGTTGGTCGAGAAGAAGAGTACAATGCTGCAAAGGCCTAGTTGAAACCAACATGATGAGAAAGTATACATTGAAAAAAATGAATAAGGTTGGTCAGTTGGAGGAATAGATTGAACAAATAGAGAAGTTTGTACAAGTTGGGGGTGAAGATCTTGTCGGAAAGGCATATTGAAACAAGCAAAAGGAAGAAGAGGCTGATAAATAAAGAAGCATGGTCATGTAGAGGAAAAGATGCTACATGTGGAGAAGTTTTTTCAAGAGAGTGAAGAAGATCTTGTTGTAAAAGCATATTGAAAATAACAATATTAGTAGAAAGAGAGTGGGAGAATTGTGAAGAGAGATTATAAGAATGAATTGTTGCAAAGTCGTGGAAATGGTGCACTGTCCAATAGGCAACTCTTTTTCACCCTAAAGTTGATGTTGATTATGGGAATGGGGCTTGGAGTTTGGAGAAAGTGCAACCTTTATCATAACTCTTTCAATTTAATTTCCATGGCTACCATATCTTCATGGAACAACACGAGGAAAAGGAGGATGACATCGACAGACAGGGGATTTGCTCAATGCTATTGCCATTTCATCATTGTTGTCATCGCTCTTCTTTTTCTTCTTAAGAGAAAAAGGTAGCATTCTCTAATCTAGTAAATTCTAGCGTGTCATTCTCCAGCAGAATTCTAAGATGCTGAGCTCCTGCAAATGTGAAGCAACAAGGGCATCAACACTATAGCGGATGTCGATCACCGAAAATGTTCCTCTCTTGAAAATTCTTGCTTTGGATTTAATTATATATATATATATATAGACTAACAAGATCTCATTTATTTAATAGTTTAAATAAATGATCACAACACCACGAGCAATGCACCTATCTCGAAAAACGGATGCATTACTAGATAATGGAGCTCAATTAAATAAACTAATGAATTCATGACATCCGTTTGGTTTGCGAAACCTTTTTATGGTGACCGAAAAATTCCCCTATCTAATATAAAGATTAGATAGGGTTTATATTACCTGGGTTCTTACAGCTCCCTATAGAGGCAATCTTATATAGTTAATTACATCTCAAATGATTGAAGCTATCAGAGGTATTTGTGTTCAAGAATCTCAAAGATTAAGGTTTCAAGGTCAAGAATGGAGAATCAAATGGGGAATGTATCAAAATAGGAACAATTTATTTTACGAATCCAAAGGAAGAAAAGTATGGGATGTCACGGATCCTGAGGAGAACATCAGTGATTTCCCAAACTATCATATTGTGTGGCTTCAATTTTGAGAAGTGTTATTTGGTATTTTTTTCCTGCTAGTTTTACTATTTAGGGCTTACATCTGCATGACATGATCATACAAATAGCCTGAAAGAAAGGAGGGTTTATGTCGTAATGAACGATAACCTCAGAGCCTAAAGTGAGTTAGGGCTTAAATTACACAACATGATTATGCGAAGACCTAGAGATAAATTGAGGATTTACATCGTGCCAGACGAGCTACCCTAAGTTCTATGTCTTGTTGTTTAACTCTAGGGAAAGTTTAGCTGGTGTAGATCAGTTTTACTGTTGTAGATTATCATCCTCCATCTATTTCGGCTTGCTCCAAGCTCTTTGTTGATAACTCCTCCAGGTTTATTTTTTGATGTCTTATGTTTTTATTTTAATTATTGTTAATCCAGTTAATTAGAAAGTATGTTTGGGTTTTGCAGTGATCCACTCTAGGTAAATCAACTATTATTTTCTATTCTAAAAGTCTTGCCATTGTATAATTAAATGTAAAAGTAAAAGAGCATTAAAGGAAATGTTGTAGTAAAAATTGTTTTAAATATATAAATGAGCATACCAGGGTCTCTATTACCGCTGCATGGTTAGTATCATAAAGCACAGTATAGTTGTATAAATTTTAAGAAAATTGCTAGAAAAAGAAAGCGTGAAAAGCATGAAAACCCAACACGAGGAAAACAAATCATAGAAAAATATGAGC